TTTCAGTTTCACCGTTTAGGAAACCAGAAGTAGACGTGTTGGTCCGTTACAGCATTAATGTGTATTTATAAACCCCTCTGTGTGATGGCTAGTCTCACATAAATGAAAGAATCCCACTTTAACGGACTGATGAACCCTCATCGCTCCACGTCTGAGGTACAGTTTGTACATCACATTAGATCACTATGTCATCAGTGAGAGATGAAATAAAGTTTATTCAGCTTCACTCAGTGTAAAGTTCTATCTGTTTTATCAGCCTCTACCTTCTTGTCGGTGAGTTTCTTGCCGGGGTTCGTCTCCTCTGGGTGATAGAACCAGTTGACCCGGACCACCATGTTGCTGCCCCACGACTCCCACATGCTCTGGATGCGGCCGATGAAGGGCAGGTTGGGCCGGCCGGCCGACAGAAACACGGCACAGTCCCCGATCCGGATCATCTCCCGGCCTCGCACGATGGCCTTGTAGAAGAGCTTCTTGGCCTTGCCCTTCATGCCGCGTCTCTGGAGGAGGACACAGCCACAGAGTGAAGACACAGAACAACAGAACCGATATCTAGGTGAACACAGAAGACGGGTTTTGCTCCTGACCTGCGTGGGTTTCCCAAACCACTTCCAGAGCTGCCTGGCGGGAAGGAAAGCAGAGATTTTGGGTCTGTTCTCCACGCTGGGAAGCCTCTGACGCTTGGCCAGCTCCTTGGTGGTGGGAAGGTGGACCCCCTCTCTCCGCTTCGGTCTGCCCGCCTTCCCCTCTCCTCCACCGGGCTTTGGTTTGGGAGGGCGCCCCCTCTGGCCGGAGCCCTTCCCGGTGGCCGGTTTAGCAGGTTTAGTGGGAGAAGCAGCAGCAGGAGTGGGAGAGGTGGACGGGGACGGAGACTGTGAGGGAGGGTACAGCTTTTCCTCTTCCTCCACTTTTATCTCCACCTCCTTCTTTACCTCCTCCTCCTCCTCCTCCTCTTCCTCTTCTTCTTCTTCTTCTTCTTCTACTTCTTCTTTTGCATTTTCCTTCGGTTTGTTCTGCACCGGAGGCTTTTGGACCGGGCCCGGCGGAGGCGTCAGAGTCCTCTCTTCATCTGAACTGCAGGAGGAGTCATCGGTCGATGAAGAGGAGGACGAGGATGACGACGAGGAAGAAGATGAGGAGGAACCGGAGCAGGATGAAGAGGAGGAGGAGCAGCTGGAGGTGCATTTCTTCTTCTTCATCTTCCCTTTCTCTCCTTCTTCCTCCGACTCTGAGCTGCTGCTGCTCTGAGATTCCTCCTTCATCTTTCTCTCCTCTCTCTTCTCCACCTCCTTCCTCTCCTCTTTCTTACTCTTCTCCTCTCTCGTGTCCATCTCCTGTCCTCTGCTGCTGCTTCCACGGCTCTCTGGCTTCTCTTTAGCCAGTATCGGTGCTTTGTAGGTGGAGTCCTTCTCGGGCAGACCGGCCTCTCGTTCTGGAGCTCTCGGTTTAGTCTTGAGCAGTTTCTGGTCGGCTGTGTCGGTGGTGATGGGGCTGTGGTCTCGCCGGACGCCCCGACCCTGTAGCAGCATCAGAGCCTTGGTCTTCTTGGTCTTCGGGGAGGTGACGCCTTCGTGGTCGAGCTTCACCAGGGGCTCTGCAGACAGCGACTTTCGCCTGACGTCACTTTGCCCGGGGCTGGGCTTGGGTCTGGAGATGGAGCCGGGTCTGGAGGACAACTGACCGGTTGACATCTTCAGTTTGGGTCTCGGGGCCGAGGACGGTGACAACGAAGACGATGAAGGTCTAGGAGGCAGAGAGGAGCTGGGTTTGCTTGTTGATAGCCTCGAAATGGGGCTGGGTAGGAGTCCAGAGCCGAGGCCGGGTCTGGAGCCGCTATGGTGGTCCGAAGAGGGTTTGGATTTGGGTGAGGAGGCGGGAGTGGGTCTGGGCGTGGACGAAGCACCGGGCTTGGGTGCAGCAGATGAAGCCGACATGCTGGGCCTCGACATGGGCCTGCTGGCGGTGGGACTGACGGTGCTGCTGTTCTCTTTCTCTCGGCGCTGGCTGTTGTACGAGCTGAGGTTCGGCTCGCTGTACAGATCCACGGTCAGGACCTTTCCATAGGTGGAGGGGTAGAGCGAGGGAGGGAGAGGGCGGGACGGTTTGGGAGCAGGAGGCTGGGCCGAGCCGCTCTTCCTGGGCACCGGGTTGGGAAGCGTCGGGCTGCTCGCCGGGGACGAGGTGGAGCTTTTGCTGCTCGGCTTCGTCTGGGATCCCATTGATGGACGGGACGCGGGCCGGGGCTTCTCCTGAGCCGGTTTCTGGACCGAGGAGGGCCTGTCCTGGGCGGGCTTGGCTGGAGCCTGGGGTCTCTCTGTGGGCTGAGCGGAGGAAGGCGAAGGATCGGCTTTCTCTCGACCATCTGTGCTTAAGGAAGTGTCTGTGGGTAAAAAAGGAAAAAATAAAAAAGGAAGAAATTTAATAACATGCTGCAACTGGCTTGGAGCTGGATGTGCTGACATTTTCATTGTGTGGCTTCGGTGGTTTGTGTGATGTGCAGCCTCACATGCTGAGCAGCGGAGAGAAATCAGCAAGGAAACAGTTTTTGAAATGAAAACATTACGTTGGAGAAGTGCTTAGCCAGACACAAGGCGGCCGGCGTCCGGCTGGCGTCAGCACATCGGACAAGCAGCGTGCCTTACGTTAACGGGACAACGAAGCAGCTGCTGAGCAAATTCATTACAGTGATATCGGAGATGGTCACATCTGAGATATCGGATGAAAGACGGGTCTGGACCTTGAGCTGTTTCCCGTCGGTGCTGTGGTTTTAAAAGACGACTTATCCAAAGTGTAGGGCAAGAACATTTGTGATTTTTTAGCTCTTTGCTCGTTAAGACACGACTCCTTTCTGTTTTTATTCCTGATAACCAACAAATATTAAGGGAATGTTTTCCTGTTTTAAACGGACGTGCACGTCATCAGCCATCTTGTCTTTACTGGTATGATGTCACATCTGGCTCCAGTGGTGACCAGACGTCCTGTACTGGTCCCATTACTCAAAAAAGGGAAACCGCCAGTTATTTCTGTGACACTGTGCTTCATTCAACCAACTGATAAAACAAGTGATCTATTAGTAGGATAAGGAATGGGTTGGTGGGTTTGTAATGAAGAGAGATGATGTTAAACTCAAGCTTTGGAGTCTCTACCAACATGAACCAGCTCTATCAGTGTCTGGATGCTTTGCTCCTGTCATGTTTTTAACTCACTGTGGGCTCATTTTACTGCAACATGACGTCACAATAGTTTAATATGTTGTACTGTTTATTAGACTTAAACCATGGCTGGAGGGTCAGAGACTTCAGAAACGACTTGTAACGTATAGCTACTGCCATAAATCGTTGGTGGTGGGTTTTGGTGTTCAGAGAATCAACGTGACAGAACACTTGTGAGTAAACTTTCATGAATCAAACCGTCCACCTCTGACCCTGAAGCTCGTTCAGCTCACCTGGTTTGCGTTTTGGTTTGCGGCCAGGTTTCCCTTTGATCTTGGGCGTGGTCTCCTCGGGCTTCGGTCCGGCCTCTTTGCCCTCTTTGCTGCATTTGCGGACCCTCCTCCTGGAGCAGCTGGCCACCAGCAGCGCAGGCGACGGCTCAGCGCCTGGACCAGGAACAGTTCATGATATCTTGAACTACAAACTCTCACATGCAGGAAACTTCAACAATTCAAGTTTTTGGAGAGAAAAAACCCCAAAACTTCTAAATGAAAGCTGCGTGTTATTTGCCACGTAGGTACGGTGGCCCACGGGGGAAAATCCATCCATCATGTCTACACCTTAATCCTCACGAGGGTCTCGGGGGATTTGTTTTTATTTATGCAGCATGTCTGTATATGCAGCGTTTTCCTTTTGCAGCGTGTTTCTGTTGATGCAGTGCATTCATGTTTGTGTACGTGCACGTCATATGTGCCCGTCGGCCACCGTACGCTGTGACCTCTCAGCTGTGGCTGCATGCTGCAAACAAAACACTCCTACAGCCTCTGATGTGCAGAAAACCAGCAGAAGCCCCCCAGAGAGAAAACGACGGATGCAACGATGTGTTTTTACATTTTTTATGAAGCAAAGGGCTTCATGTTGTTCGTCTCCCGGGGAAGCCCCATTTTCTTTACCCTACTTGATGTGAACACTCGTGAAGCCAAAGCGAGCAGAAACTAAACACACTCTGCTGCGTAAAGACCGACGAGCGGCTGTGTTCCAGCTGTACTGAGGAAACAGACACAGATCTACCACTGAACGTGAAAATACAACGAGAACAAGTGTGTGTGTGGTTCTGTTCTGTGTCTGTTCAGTCTGTGTGTGTGTGGTTCTGTTCTGTGTGTGTTCAGTCTGTGTGTGTGCGTGTGTGTGTGTGTGTAGGTGTGTGTGTGTGTGTGTGTGGTTCTGTTCTGTGTGTGTTCAGTCTGTGTGT